ATTTTGAATGGCGTGGAATGAAGTATGTTGGGGAGTTAATTTAGTTTAGTTCAGTTGAGACTGTGGAAGTTCCTCTTTGTATTGCAATATAACGGTCACACTCGCATACCCTTCGGTAGAGTAAATTGAGGTACAATTAAATATAAAGTAGTGTGCGTAAATCACATTTCATATAATTGGCTGTTAAAAACAGGAAAATAATTTGGAAAAATTGAGAACTCAATATTCAAATTGTAACGACCAGATAAATTTGACAGTCTTAGTCCTCAAATCGCATAATACATCAATAACCCACTACTCAAAAATCTCAGTGAACACAATGTTCTGCATAGTCTTCACCGGTTTACCTTGAGAGTCACAGCTAAGAATTTTGAGTCCCCTTTCTGACGTAACTCGAGACATAGCAACATACAACTGTCCATGAGAAAATACTTGTCTTTGCAAGCAGATGCCAATGTGATTTAATGTTTGACCTTGACTCTTGTTAATTGTCATTGCATATGACAGTGCAATTGGATATTGCCTTCAACCCAGAGTGAAATTTAAGCTCTTGTAGTGGACCGATAGACTTAGGCGTGGTAAGAAAACTGTATCACCAACATGTGTCCCGGTCAAAATTTGGACCTCAATAAACCACTTACCTAATCTCTTAACGATCATCCGAGTTCCATTGCAAAGCCCAGTACTCTGATCCAGATTTCGAAGCAGAATAATTGGGCACCCCAACTTCAATTTCAACTCATGTTCCGGAAAATTCCCAATCTTTAAAGAGTTCAAGAATTCAACTGTGTAGTCCCCTTCTTCAACATGCTGATTCTTGGCATCAATCTCTAGTGAATCCGAACTAAAATAAGAAACTTCTTCACCAGGAAATAGACCCAATACATAATTGTTAATGGCCGCAACAGTGTCTTTATGAGGGGCTAAGATAGCTCGCTCAACCAAATAGGTTGACATATTTTCAGTGGAGAGTAATTGACCATATATTTCAGCAACAATATCAGGAATCGGATCGCTGCGACGGGGAACACAAATGTGTAGAGGTATCGGGATAATTGATTCTCCAAAAATATTACTATGTGTACCATCACCAATTTCCAAAAGCCATTTGCTAAAATTTGAGATTGCAAACCTGGTCGATGCTTCAGAATGAGGCAATTTTAATCGCATGTTCTCGGTTAGTTTCAAGACTGTCATAGACCGCCACAAATAAGATCTCTTTATGGAAGAATTAACAATTTGAGCCCGTGTACCCTTTGTGATGATAGGTAACGTCTGTCGGAAATCACCTCCAAACACAATAGTCATACCTCCAAAAGACTTCAACTCAGAATCAACATGCTTAACTCGGAAAATATCCCTCAATGTCCTATCTAGGGCCTCTATGTTGTGTTTATGAGCCATCGGTGCCTCATCCCAGATAATAAGTGAAGCATTGAGAATCAATTCAGCTACCTCAGAACCTTGCTCAATATTGCAAGTTGATTTTGTATCACAATCCAGGGGAATGTGAAATCTTGAGTGTGCAGTTCTTCCACCAACCATGAGCAGTGCAGCAATACCAGATGAAGCAACACATAATACTATCCTCTTCTCAAATCTTAATTGCTCACAAATTGCTCGCCACAGAAATGTCTTACCAGTACCCCCAAATCCATCCACAAAAAATCATTTACCCACATTGGTATAAACAGAATGTAATACCATATCGTAAGCGATTTGTTGTTCTCCATTCAACGGTCTACAATGCCGATCCTCAGAACAGTCTAAGTCACCGGGTCCATAATTCATCTCCATATCTATCAGCCTGTTTACCGTATGTGAACGCAAACACTGATCGGGAACAGGCAAGCCAGGGAAATCTGCTAATGACTTCGAAAATCTCTCCATCAATTTGTCAATATGAATAAGGCACAACTCCTTAATTTCATCCTCCGACAAATTCAACTGGGGTAAATTCAGCTCTCTACGTCGTGAATGCAAAATGCCTTCACTTAGTAATTCCCAATTCTTTAACAAAAAAAAAAGTCACATCAGCCACCTGACAATGAATAAGAATTGTGACAAAAAAATTTCTAAGTTTATAACCAGAAGCCCAATGCGAAGCTTCTTGTACACAATCATTCCATTCGGAATCTCCTGAAAACAGTCCCCAAGCATAACATGCTTTTTGGAATGTCTCATATACCACCCTATTCACTGTTTTAATATCATCATAAGAACAACAACCCCTAACAACATGCAATAGCATTCGCAAATAGTACCGCTCCTTTGCAGATGGGTAGCAGTAATATAATCTAGCAATGCAGGTACCTTTCTTGCGCTGCTGCCACTTCTTGTATTTTTTATTCCATACATAATATTGTGGCATCTCCGCAAAGGTATATTTCCGTGCATCCATTGACTGAAGATTGAGATCCATCCATGCTAACAACATTGAGGTTTGAGAACTGCTAGACTCAACCGCTTCATCCACGTTAGATTCAACATTTAAATACACTATATTCTCCCCAGGCAAATGACAGGACATACGAAGTACTGTTGGGGAGTGAGTGTATCTATCAAACCTAAAAATTCTCCAACATGCTTCTCCCGATGTGATGTAACGGGCATCCATGAATGCCTTTATCTCATCGATTTGCACAGTCGTAGTTCCGCGATTCCGACCATCCATAGCCGAAGCTGTTTGTTGTGCACCTACAGTGACCATTGCACGATCCTCAGGTTTGTTGATGTACTTAAACAAATATTTAATAGCCCTATATAAACATCAAATACAACAAAGTTGTAGATGTTAGATAGAGAAGTAGGAAAAAGTTGTAATACATTTTTCGTAAATGTGACTTGTATTAAATAAGAAACCAAAACACAATACGCAAAGTACAGAGAACAAAAGGCAACAAATGGATCAGAATATCTTATCCAAGGGGCAAAAAAGAAAAAGAAGGAAAACAATGCAAAGAATATTACAAAAATTACAGAGTTGCGGAAAGAAATCACACCAATAAGATAAAACTGGGTTTATACAATAAATAAAAAAAGAGAAATAGCACAAATATTGGTTTGTTTTTTATTCTTCTTTGGATATTAAATCATAATTCATATACATGCATAAAGTTAATAATGAGTGTAGCATATAAATATACATATATCCTATCATTAAGAATCTGGGTATGGTAATATAATAAAGGAAACAACAACGACATATAGATAAATACGATTTACTTCAGCCATACCTTGTCTTGTTACAAAATTCAATATTGATATGCGCTCCAAATCGTAGTAACAAATATCGATTGTAGGGTACAACCCATCGATTATCCAGTTCAACCCCGCCACAGTTGAAAACTCTACCATTGTTCCGCCGACGATATTTAGCAAACCCAGTTTCGTCGATAGTTGTTTGAGAAGAGTATTCCTTGGGGTAATGCTTACTACATGTCCCATTCTTCATGCACACATTATTAGGACGTACTGTACCACACGGGCCATGCATCATTGAACTTGTGACAACTGCATATAGTTCAGGATCAAGATAAGGATCCGGAATTTCAACACAAATTATAGAATCAATAGCCACAGGACCATGAAATTTATTCTCCTAGGACAAAAAAAGCAATATATGTGCATGAGGGAGACCCCGCTTTTGCCATTCAATTGCTTTGACATCTGTACAGCAAGATGCAAATAGTGGGAAAGGAATATTAGTTTAATGAGGTAAGAGAGTAATGGATCAACATTAATAGATAAATAACGAATGAATAAGCACACATACATGCATTGATTTTCCCAAATATTTCTTTCTCACGAATCTCTAACATAAACTCATCAAGCTTGATTTTGAAAACTCTGGCGGTGATGTCAGCACAGTCAGGATCTTTGCCACTGTACCTTCTAATCAAATAAACCTTAACTGTATCTCTGGCCAGTTAGAATTGCAAGTGAATGTTATAAACAAATCAGGATAACCAATCCACTTGAAAATAGCCATCGCATCCTGAAAATTTTCATATTTGTATCTTGGACTACCGGTGTGTGAGGCAGCTAAAATAACTGGCTTCCCAGAAAGCTTGATATCACTATCCCCTTGCAAATAAGAATTCAACAAATCCTTGTAGTAGTGTCCTCTTAGCTTCGACTGATGGGTACGCATCCAGTCTAAGCGTTCAGCCTCAATTAACGCAAATGCATTCACCATATATTGTTGAAACAATTTACCAGATAATAACAGAGAATTCGACTCTTGGAGACGGGTTTGAAGACGATATGCATAGAAATCACACTGCGTTATCATTTTATCTCCAACACGGATATTAGAGCTACTGTGACTATAGCTAATACAGGGATGCCACCCAACCTCGCCATATGGGCATAAAATTGGATATTGTAATGCCATCAGACTTGGATGGTATAGGCTAATCCTTTCCATTTCTGAACCCTTCTGTTGAACAATTATATCTAGAGAAAATGATTGCTCTCCTGTTTCATCTACAATCAATGCTACAATCTCATTCGCAGAGGGCAAATCATATTCTCTACTATTAATTTCATGCTTAGCCAATAGTTTCAGTTGAAGCTCCTGGACACCAGAGTTTTGTATCCTATCTCGCGCAGAACGAAATGTACGTACCAGGATATTATTGACATCAAACATATGATGGAGGCCTTCAACAGTACACTGGCGCAACGGATTCTTGGCAGGATCAGTAGAGTAAAAGTCCATACGATTCTGGACCTCGTTATCTGAATCGTGAATGTAAAGCTGTGCAAATTTCGGACTATCCCCATCATCAGGAACCAAACATCCTATTCGATGATAAATCTAACCACTGATTGAATATACATAAACTCCACGACCATCATTAATAGAGTGATTGACTTTACCTCCAGGAGAAATAAAGCAAAAACTCCATTATAGGCTATGATGTTACTACGAAAGTGACGCGCTAATGGTGTATGGGAATTGCTAAATGACGTCCTTAAAATTACTTTCAATCGTCCTATGTTAAGTTAATTTACTAATTTATCCAATTATCAATTTCAAATTATATACTAAAGTCCAAACATATCTATCTTCCCTCTCACTGCACTCTCCAAAATACAAATCCAACTTCCTCTCTCCTACATCACCCCAGCGGCTCTGCATAAGCTGCATTGGCGACAAACTGGCTAAAGCCGACAAACTTCCTCTCACCCTTCTCTCTCACTCTTCTCTCTCACCTGCATTCTCGAGAAACTCCCCAAGCTCCAACCTCGTCGACCTCCGCCTCTCTACACACGCATCTCGCCAGTGGGTTTGCATTGTCGGAGAAGACGAAGAGCCAGAGAAGGCCCATTCCCGTTTGCTTCACCGCACTTGTTGCCGGAGAAAACGATCGACGACGACGCCACTCTGCACTCTTTCTTCCTCCCGCTCTAGTCGTCCCAGCTCGCCGGCCATTTGTTCCCCGCCGGCCTCTGTTTCTCCTGCCGGCCTCTGTTTCTCACAAGCCCCCCAACCACTTCTTCTGCCCACGTCTCTGTTCCTCCCGCCACAGCCTTCCCGACAGCTGCCATCACCTCTGCCACTGCGTCGCCGGAGAAGGCACATTACCGTTCGCCGCACCGCACTTGTTGCCGGAGAAGAAGCTCGACGACGACCCACTCCTATACTCTTTCTTCCTCCCGCCCTAGTCGCCCCAGCCAGCCGGCCACTGGTTCGCCGCCCCTTGCAAAGCCGGAGAACACCACCGCAAACGGTAAGACGGAACAGAGCCATCGATTGCGTTTATCCTGTGATCCAACGTCGGTCTCTCGGTGGCCCAACGAAACTTTGTTTCCGTTTGTCCTATGGTCCAACGTCGGTCTCTGGGTGGCCCAACGAAACATTGTTTTCGTTTATCCTGCGGTCAACCCATTTTGATACTGTTTTTGACCCGTGGGCCAACGAAACATAATTCCTTGTTTGATTATTAATCTGACCACCCTTTACCTGCGTTTACCTATTGTTTGACTGCCATATTGACTTGCATTTACCTGCGTTTGGGCCCATATGAGATATGACCAGGTGTAATCAATTTGTAATTTCAGAATGTAAATTCATTGTTTTAACTGCGTTTTAGTCCATAGGATTTTGTTTGATTATGAACAATTGCAAATTGTACATAGTTATTGAAAATATTTAACGTGATAAAACATTTATAAATCGAAGATAGTTATTTAGAACCATGTAACCATACGTATTAGACTTATGAATGAGTAGTTAATTGTTATAATTTTGAATGATTAATTTATTTTAAGTGTGACAATTTAAATGGATTATTATTATTTATTTAATTTCAGGATATCCGTTGATCCAATTTTGCATTGTCGTCCTATACTCGCCATGAATAGTGATAGCGACTCCGACGAGGTATTTATGTTATGAGCTCACTTATTTCAGTACAAATTTTCATTATGAATGAACTTTATTTGTTGCAATCTATTTAACTAAATTAATTGGATTTTGGGTGGTTTCTAGAATGAATGTTACATGTTAAGGTGAATGGTTTGTTACAAATTATTTACTAATCTTTTATGTTAATATAAATTGCATAGGGATTTTTAGGTTGAATAAATGTTATGTTAGGTTGAATGAATCTTATTTTTTATACATATTTTAGGAAATTGATAGAAGTTCCCATTCGGGTCCTTTTGATTATACACCGACATTCGTTAAAGGGGTGAAATACGATTCAGAGGTAGAAGCCTATAAAGCAGCATGTGAAATAGCCAAGGGTTTAGGGTTCTATTTAGTGCGGACGTCGAACAAAAAAAATCCAAACGAAAATAGTCGGCGATTTTATTTGACTTGCACTCATGGTAAGGAGAGAAAGTCCAACCCTTCTGATCTGACAGTTAAAAAGCGAGAATTTACTTCCACAAATAAGACCGGATGCCAGTTCCAGATCAAGATTGAGCGGCCAAAAAATGAAGTAAGTTGGTTGATTATGGGAGTGACCAACATGAACAATCCGAGTCAATATACTTGTAGCTCCGATGACTTGTCTTTGTTGGCTCTCTTCTTCCTCTTCTTAGAGTTACCACACTGCTGAGAACTAGATGCTGCCTGAAAGCGTCCATCAGGACCCCGACATGTCGTCGAGGAAGTAGAAGTCATCGGAGCTCCTAAGTACCTTTGAAACTGAGTATGAGCGAGCTTCTCTCCCTCATCATGATCATCATCATCTTCATCGTCATCATCATCATCATCAATCGGTATACCATCATCCGAAATAGAGTCCTCCCACCTCGGCTCCCAAGTATCAACACGATCAGATGTAGGCGTGGGACTTTTCCGACTAAGAGACAACTGCCCTTGAGTAGGATGACCGTCAGGACGCTATACTTGTAGCTTCTTCTGCCTCGCCCGATTCTTACGAGGATTTTTATCTTCATTTTCTTTTCGCCCAGTTGTCGTAGGTCTACAAGTTCGGTTTTTCATTCGATCCTTAATGGTTCCTGATTTTTCAATTCTCGACATCTACAAAAACATACAATGCTACTATTAGAATTTTAAAATATGATTTGGAAACGTATTTGTGAACATTTTATTAATTACGTATAAAGTTCAAATAATATTTTATCTCATGTTCTTTGAATTGATAGTAATCTTAATTTTATGGAAAAAAGGATTATGTCCTTTATTTGTAAGATAAAATTATATCATAACCTACTTCAAAAAAATTCAATGAAATACTAAATTTAACTATATATATTCAACAACTCTAAATACAACAAGTAAACTTTTCTACCAAATTTTAGAACGGCGTATAAAGTTTAATCGACATATTCAAGCTCAACTAAATTTAATGAAATCCTAAATTTTTATAACAAGATACATTCAACTAATATTCAAATAAATAAAATAATTTTTTATCGAATCAATTTAATTGTAAATACAATTAACTAAATTAAAATCCATCACAACAAATTTAATTATATAAATACAAATTCTTAAAAATATAAATTAAATATTAAAAATGGAATGTCCTCAACGCGGGACTGACGGGACTGCTACCTGGAAAAACGAAAGAAAAAAATACGATTGACCATCGGTCAAACGTGGTCTATATGGTAACTGCCGAACGGTGAAACATGGAAAAAAATTCGGTTCGCAGGACGGGTTCACGAGATAAATATATCGTCGTGACAGATGGGTTAACATATATAAATCACCGGTTGGAAGGACGGTTGCCCGAAGATACCATCTTGGTGTGCCGACAGTGAAGAAAGCAAAAGGGCCGGTTGGAAGGGTGGGTAAAAGAGTAACTCTGGGTGATTGAATGGAAGGTCAAATGAGAAGAAAAAAGTGGTTGACCGACAGTTAAACAGGGGTTGGGAGGACGTACCTCTGCTTCCGACGATCTTCTTCTCCGACGCAAGCAGCTGATTTCCGGCCGACGTATCTTGCCTGAAAGCCCAAACACAAACGTAAAATCAAGTGAGATCCATGAGCAAGCACCTGATTTTGGTTGGAGTCTCTATCTCTCACCCCTTACCTCCCACGTTTCTTCCTCCCCGAGGCGGTGAGAATCAGGGGCGGTTGCGGAAGCGACGGTCAGAGAAGGACCGGATCGATGGTGGGTCCGAGATGGTCGGCGGCGGCTGGGATTGACAAAGGAGTTGCAGAGGGCTGCCGCAGGGGTGGTTGCGGAGCGGCGGTCAGGCAAGGATCTGATCGATGGTGAGTCGAGATGGCCGGCGACGGAGATTATTTGGTCGGCACATCGATGAGGGTTGCTGAGCTTCGGGGAGAATCAGGGAAGGACCAGATCGATGATGGTCGAGATGGTCGGCGACGTGAGTTTCAGTCTTTGGAATTGGATGGGCAGAGAGAACGTGGCTGAGGGAGGAGAGAGGTAAAGGAGTTTCAGTCTCTGGGTTGGGATGGGCGGTCTGAGGGAGGAGAGAGGAACATTAATGTTGTGTTTTAGGGGTGAGAGAGAAGGGACTGTTTGTTTGTGCTTTAATTTGAATTTTGAAATTGGGCAAATTGGTAAATTGCATAGTAAAGTTAGGACGTCAAATAGTAAATTTAGGACGACAATTAGCATTTCAGATGGTGTATCCCCTTCAAGTAGAGTTTTAAGAAATTTGGGCACATCTCTGCGGGGAGGCAATTTCACTTTACCATGTTTGCAACATAAAGAAAATGCAGGCAACACATCATTTCGTGTAGATAAAGTACTCTCGAACCGCCACATAACTGCTCCACAATGTTGACACGTACAAGAAGGTGGACCAATATCAAAAAATTCAACCAACGGAAGACCTAGTGAAATAGATAAGTAATATTAATAAATTTTTGTCACAGTAATTCATAAATTGAATGAGTTTGAGAAACTGTCAAGCCCATGTACTCGCGCTACAGTAAACACAATTATTAAAACAAATGTTTCCAAGGAAAGATAGATTGGTATACTGCTCATTTTAAGTAAGAATAACTCAAATTTCAGGAAACACCAAAGTTTGTTCATAACACACAAATTTGCCGTTGACACATCTAAAAACAATCCACTATTTGCATAAGGTCACATGAAGCATACATCACTAAATTATATACATGACATAAATGGGTACATTATATGTTCTAAGACCAAAATAGGGAACAAAATATGTTGACCAGAACACTAAAACATATATCCAATGTACAAAAACTGATCCAAAATAGAGATGAACCATGTCATGTATAACAGTGCCCATTAGAATCCACATACTTTGATTGACTTCTGTAGTAAAGAAACTTCGACCACGTCTCTTTCTATGCAGATGAATATGTCGAAGTAATCGACTTTGCTTTTGTAATAGAAATCTAAACTGAGGCTCCCAAACTATGAACAACACCAAAACAAATAAGTTAATAAAGAAATAAATAAAGAGTGAACAATACAAAATAGCCTAATATGTAAGACTTGCTACAAAATTTAGCAAACAACAACCTTGGTGTTCGAAAGGCAAGCCCCTCCTATGAACCTTCTGTTTCAAAATATGGTGTCTTCTCTTACGGGCGACTTGGGATAGCATTCGCCGAAGTTGAGAGAGTTGGAATTGTAAGGCAGCTTCTTCTGCAGAATTTAAATATAAAACCATGTATTACTCATTGAATAGATGAACTAATTAGAAAAATTAAACACAGAGAACACACCTCTCTCAAATGCTTCTTCCTCTTCAGCAGATAAAACACAGCGTTGGTACTGATCTTCAGGATGAATAAAAACTGCTCGACGTTTCCCTAAACAAATGAGATTCAAGGGAAAATATTAATGTCAGTTTGCATTGAAACAGTTTCGTGCTAAACCATGACACTCACATGGTACAGACGATCGATAAATCTGTGGTTGGGCAGATGGGATGACATTTGCACTATCCATATTTAATTCTCCAATAACCTGACGCAATCTGAAATAGAGGTCGTGGTAAATGATGCACCCGTTCCAGTAAACTTTGCAGCTGCCATTCATATAAATTAATTAATTTTTACAACAGAAGTTGAACTCCTCACCAATCATAAGTTTGTGCGAGTTAATGACACATACAACACACCACACAAACATAACAGTCGAAGAAATCCAAAATGCTCCAACCAAGTTGAAGGCGGACTATAAATTTAAACAAAAAAGTACGTTGACAGAATACTATTCAGCTCCTTTTAGGACTCCATTCAATATTTCTAGTTCACCAAATACTGCCACGGATGAGGAATCTGGAGAAGAAGAACGACAACTGGAATAAGTAAAACTTATAGACCCTATTAATTATTATAAGGTGAAAACGGACCAAACTTCTAGATTCGCAAGAAAGTGACAATGGAATTTATCCACCAGTTCAGCAAATTGAAAATTCAAAGAAAGGGATCAAATTCTCTACCATCAAATCTCTAATCGATTCAGGCAGATATTATGCACATACTATATTCAGATTATATCCAGTAAGAAGCTTTACCTCTCTTTAGAAATCTTCGAAAGTTGGATGATTGAATATACTTACAGGTGAACCAATTGATCGAGTGTCATAGTCTTAGGACTCCAAATAGTTAAAGCGAGCAGTCTAACATATCAGAAACAGATATCCTGACCTCGATAGCAACAATATCTACTCAACCCTCCCAAAACATATTAATATTAGAAAGAAAAC